CCCCTACGGGTTTGCAAAATGGTTTGCGAAAGCTGAATGCATGTTCTTGGCAGCTTGAAGAAAACCTTGTTCTTTTTTCACTTGGGGAAAAAGGGGATTTGTCAATGAGTGTGGAAGGGTTTAATTTTCCAGGTTTCTGCCTTCTTCCTTCTTGGGCCAATTAGTGGCAAACTACTTATAGGGAGATTTGCGCTCAAAGGGTCATCTTGAACTTGTGTCTGACCCTTTCTGAAAATTGGGTCCAATTGTCTTGGAAAGCACCAAATTCGCTGCTTCCTGTAGTAGCCCTCATGGCAGGAGGATTGGGGGCCATCGGGCCTTGGATCCCTGCTAGCCTTCTCAGTCAGCCTGATGGAGAAATCTGTTCTCCCAGTATCAAAGCAATGTATTCTTGGGTGTAGGAATAGAGATTATTTTTTGTTATTTAAAAAAGTTGTCCCTAATTATCGTTTTGCCAAAAATTGCACAGTGGTAACCTCTCCTTTTCTGCTAAAATGCTGTTCGGCCCCTGGATCCAGCCAGCTTTAAAACCCTAGAGCCTAGAATGAAGGAGACAAGAAGAGAAGCAATCCAGAAGCAAGGAGAAAATTTCCAGACAGTTAGGACAATTAATCAGTGGAACGGTTTTCCTCCAAAAGTTGTAGGTGCTCCAACCCTGGAGGTTTTTAAAAAGAAACTAGACAGCCACTAGGGACACAGTGGCTCAGGGACTAAGACGCTGAGCTTGTCGATCAGAAAGGTCGGCAGTTCGGCGGTTTGAATCCCTAGTGCTGTGTAATGGAGTGAGCTCCTGTTGCTTCTCCCAGCTTCTGCCAACCTAGCAGTTCGAAAGCAGGTAAAAATGCAAGTAGAAAAATAGGGACCACTTTGGTGGGAAGGTAACAGCATTCCGTGCTCCTTCAGAGTTTAATCCTGCCGGCCACATGACCACAGAGACGTCTTCGGACAGCGCTGGCTCTTCTTCAGCTTTGAAACGGAGATGAGCATTGCCCCTGAGAGCCGGAAACAACTGACACATAGGTGCGAGGGGAACCTTTACCTTTAGACAGCCACTTGTCTGAAATGGTATAGGATCTCCTGCCTGAGCCCCTAGGGGGTTGCACTAGAAGATTTTCAAGCTACCTTCCAACTCTGTTATTCTGTATTCCGAGTTAATGTACACGAGACGGGCAACCATGTAAATCTAATAAATCTAAGGATCTTAAACTGAATCAATGATGTAGAAGGCTCCACCAGGTCTCTTGGGACAGCTGTGCAGAGAGCTTTTGAGGATTGCTGTTACAGAACCCACTTGTGAACCCCAACTGGTAGCAGAGAAAGTTGACCAGGGTAACAAATGAAAATAATGAGGCTGGGTTAGTTTTGCTGTGTGAACCCAACAATTATGAACAAGCGTGTTCATTTTCTGAAGAATCTTTTCTGCTGCAATGATGGGCCGTGTTTTTGAGCTGACCAACAACCAGCACAGTATGGGCTGGAATTACTCTGTCACTCATCAGTATTGCTTTTCTCTTTCGACTTTCTTCTAGCTGAACACAACGAAAACAGTCGATGGGAAATCCACGTTTCTGCATATTCTTGCCAAATCACTTAGCCAACATTTCCCAGACCTCCTGGGCTTTGCCAGGGATTTGCCCACAGTGCCACATGCTGCCAAAGGTAAATCACAAACGATGGGCCTTTTTCCCCCCTGACATCACTTGGTTTAGAGGGAAACAGGGATGGAAAGAATCTGTGGGTCTCCCAGTTCTGTCCATTTACGTACTACCAAAACTCTTGTTCCCATAATCCTTAACTGGGTGAAATGATGCATTGTAGGGCAATGGCTTTTGAACCGAAGTACCTCAAATAGACTAACTTGAAGAATGCGTCCAAAATCTGAGACCCATGGCCCCTTGAGGAATTGGAATTTAGCAAATGTTAGACAACATTTTATGACAAAAATTACCCTAAAACAGTTTGTAAAAAAGTATGATATGCTATAAAATATTTCCAGTGCTGATGTTTGATGTGGTTATGTACTTCAAGATGGACTTGCTTCAGGGCAGATCGATTTCTGAATAACAATAGCAATAGCACTTAGACTTTATTTACTGCCCCATAGTGCTTTTCAGCAAGTGTCTCCAACCTTGGCAACTTTAAGACTTGTGGACTTCAAATCCCAGAATTCCCCGACAAGCATAGCTTGTTTAATACACTGGTCTGGTGTCAGGCCTGCCTCTGCTTAGGTTCTTAGGAAAGAAACACCCTCGACTCCATTTGGTTGAACTGATAGGTTCTTTTACTAAGGTTAAGTGGTTGCAGCGAAAGAAAGGCTAGATCTGAATATTTCTGTGCAAAGGTTACAATTTTCCCCTTTCCATGCTCTCCCTGACCAGTTTGTCATTGTCCAAGAGGCCTCTAATCTTGGCAACTTTAACCCTTAGGGACTTCCTTCTCCAGCCAGCATATTCCCCCAACAACCTGGGTCCTCATTTTATCAACTTTGGAAGGTTGGAAGGCTGAATCATATGGGCTAACTTGCAGAATGCACCCAAAATCTGGGAGTCGTGACCCCTGTGGAGTTTGGCAAACTTCATACAATATTTTATGACATAAACATTATCGTAAACACTTCATGGCATAATACAGAAGGTCAAAAATAATTTCCTGTGCTGTTGTTTGACTGTGCTATACAATTCAACGCAGGTTAATTTCAAGGCAGTTCCAGTTCTGAGTTTATCCCAACCTTTGCAATCCAGGCGGGACATTAGAAGCCTCATCATTGTTGAAGGCAATTTAGAAATATCTCCAGAAGGATGACTCAACAGGTGACATGTAGTCTAGTTCATTTTCAGCCTTCAAACTCAGATGGAGAAAAAGGGGGAAAAAACCCAGCTGAATTTACAAAGAGAAATTGCCTGAAATCGAAGAAGCTTCACAGGCTTAATCATAGAAGCTATTTTCACAGGATACACAGGATCTGCCCAAAGTGTCTTGTGAGAAAGAAAAAAACCAACAATCCATTCATAGTTTCACCCAAAAAAACTTTGGGAATGTTACCCATTGCATAGCCAGACCATGCAATAGGGGCACTGCTTCTCAACTTTGGCCACTTGAAGACCCGGGGGCTGCAGCTGATAGCTGGTTGGGGAATTCTGGGAGTTGAAGTCCACGTGTCTTAAAGTGTTGAGAAACACTGCCACAGGGCAACCATTGCACCATCCAATTTGCATAAACAAAATAGGGCCTTTCCATAGTGAGAAACAGACTCACCAGAGAGACGCATCCCAGTGTCTGTCTATGAGTCCTCCACCCTGTCTCATCTTAGACATGCCAACATTCCTCCAGCACAATAGTCTCAACCATGGCAACCTCAGAAACGATATATGTGGTTGTAAATTCCCCAGGCTGCCTTTTGGGAATTCTGGGAATTGAAGTCCACAGGTCTTAAAGTGGCCGAGATTAAGAAACATTCCTGACGGTAGCAAATGATTTGCTGTCCTCTCCAGTAGGTGACTCTGCCTGCCCCTACTCAGGGACCAGTTTGTCCTGCAGGTGAGTCTGAGTGAGAGGCTGGCAAAGTCTGCTGTGGTTGGAGGGGCAGGGGTGGCACAGAAGTGTTTGGCAACCCCTGAAAAGCCTGAGGACGGATGTACTGAGCTACAGCGGTGCAGTGGTTAGAGTGCAGTACCGCAGGCTACTTCTGCTGACTGCCAACTGCCTGCAATTTGGCAGTTTGAATCCCACCAGGCTCAAGGTTGACTCAGCCTTCCATCATTCCGAGGTGGGTAAAATGAGGACCCAGATTGTTGGGGGGCAAGAGGCTAATTCTGTAAACTGCTTAGAGAGGGCTGTAAAAGCACTGTGAAGCGGTATATAAGTCTAAGTGCTATTGCTATTTTCCTTCCTTCCTTCCTTCCTTCCTTCCTTCCTTCCTTCCTTCCTTCCTTCCTTCCTTCCTTCCTTCCTTCCCAGTGGTTAGAATACAGTATTGCAAGCTAACTCTGCCCACAGTCAGCAATTTGATCCTGACTGGCTGAAGGTTGACTTAGCCTTCCGTCCTTCCGAGGTGGGTAAAATGAGGACCCAGATTGTTGGGGGCAAGAGGCTGATTCTGTAAACCGCCTAGAGAGGGCTGTAAAACCCGGTGAAGCGGTAGATAAGTCCAAGTGCTGTTGCTATTTGTGAAGTGAATCACTGCAGTTGTTAAATTTAGTAACCTGGCTGTTAAGTGAATCTGGTTCCCCATTGACTTTGCTTGACAGAAGGTTGCAAAAGGGGATCACACAACCCCCTGGGACACTGCAACCGTCATAAATGTGAGTCAGTTGCCAGCTGTCTGATTTTGATCACGTGATCATGGGGATGCTGTAACAGTCATAAGTGTGAAGTGCTTTGAATGGACACTAAATGGATGGTTTTAAGTCAAGGACTAGCTGTCCTGAGAAGTAAGCAGCCTTTGAGTCTGTTGCTTTTTGCTTAACGGAAGATGGCCGGGTCAGTGAAGAAGGGGTGACACGATAGAAAGAAGAATTAGGAGTGAGCCGACAGCAGCATTCAAATATTTGAGGGGCTGCCACAAAGAAGGGGGGGGTGTGAAATTATTCTCCGAAGCACCAGGACAAGAAACGATGGCTGGAAACCAACCAAAGAGAGAAGCAATCTGGGACTGAGGAGGAAATTCCTAATAGAAGAATTGACCAGTGGGACTTCCTGCCTCTAGAAGTTGTAGATGCTTCATCACTGGAGACTGGACAGTCATTTAACTGAAATGGCATAGGGTCTCCTGCCAGAAGACCTCCAAGGTCAAGGTCCCTTCCAGCTCTGTTCTGTTTTATTCTATTCTAGATTCCATTCCATTTCATTCTTTCATAATTCTATTCTATTCTATATTCTATTCCCTATTCCCTATTCTATTCTATTCTATTATTGAGAGGTCTTTCCTTGCTTCGCGAAGAAGGTGGTTGAAAGATGAAGCTGTTGAAATTTCGGACTGTTTTTCCCCCCCCTCTCCTTAGTGAATCAGAGAACGTTAACAGCTGACCTCAATGACCTTCATTGCACTGTCCGTGAGATTGAAATCGCCTGCCAGAATATGATGCCTTCATCACCCGAGGACAGATTTGTGCCTGTGATGGATGTATCCTTTTTCTGAGAAAGGGCGGGCTTGCTAGAATGGATTCCACAAATGAAGCCATCCACCCCACCCACCCACCCCCTAGAAAAAGAAAAAAGCAAGTTAGACGGAGAGGTGGGAGGTCTAGGTCATCTTCGGGTCTTCTGGAGAACCAGAGGAAGTTGAGGGGGGATGTCACTTGTTGGAAGAAATATTCAGTTAGGTTCAGTTCTGTGAGAGGTAAGAACCAGATTATTCAATACTCACAACACAGGAACAAGTCTGGTTCACCATTCAAAGGTTTATTAAAGAAAATAAGCGTTTGCAAACGGGCCTTCAAGCCCCTCCCCAAGTGGACTGGGTACAAGAAGAGCAAGCCTCCATATTCAAGCAATACTTTTTAGACCCATGCCCAGAACACGCCACGCCCAAGAAGCCCTCCCCACACACCCCTTCTTCTCTATATGCTAAACTATTAACTGGGGTCAGCATGACGTTGTTTCCTGTCCTTCGGTGTCTTATCTTATATTTATTGTTGGGGCTTTACCTTGGATGGATGTCCTTATCTTACTTGTTTTCCAAGGTCTTCCTGTTTTCCAAGAGGATTATAATAATGCATCCTGTACTTGTATCTGAACACATTTTAGGTTATAGGGTGGGGGTTTATGCAGAGAAAGAGAAAAAGAGGAAGTTAACAAGAAGCATCAGAAAGAGCAAAAGAGAATCTTCTAGTCCATGAATCCTATTATACAAGAGTAACTTATAATTTTTCCCTCAGTTCCAAGTGGGGAGAAAGACACTGGAAACATGGAGGATACTTGGAAGGATGGTTTAATGGAGCAGAACCATTAAGCACATGGTCCTGGTGCAACTGACCACATGGAGTGGAGAGAGATATATATTTATACCCTCTCTTGAGCCTTGCCTTTGAGCTTCCTGTTCCTGTGGCAAGGGCAGGTATCCTATTGGTTGTCAGACTCTCAGAGGGCTATGCAGCTAAACTTGTAGACTGTCTGTGTCCCAGACTTGGTTGAATCTTGTTGGGTTATGTAATGAAGGGGCTTTGGGCAATTCCTATTGTGGCTTAATAATGGCTTTGTCCTTGTTTGGATCTGAGTGAGGGCTAATCCCATCACCCTGGAGCTGAAGATCTTTTGTCTTGTAGATAAGATGTCCTTTGTCTTTCTGGGGCTGTTAACAAAGGTGGGGGGTGCTTTCCAAGAGCATGTTTCTCCTTTTCTCATCCAGGGAGGTGTAATATTCTGCCTTTGTAATATTTCCTAGAATATTTCATTCTTCTAGGAAGAGCAGTGGGTGCTAACTTTCTTCACACTGGAATGGACGGGCCCAGATTTCAGGGACCAAAACGGAGAGATGGTGGTGGGAGGCTTCTTGGGGGGGGGGGGGGGGGCAAACACTTCTCATTCCTATTATAAAATGGCTGTTTGTTTCCAGCAAGTTTTATATCTGGAAACAGAAACATTAATCTCCCAGAGTCCTTCTGCTCCCCTTGCCACATTGATCACCCCCCAAACTCCACTAAATGATTCTAAGACACATCTGGGCTGAAATTTCTTTTCTTTTTTTTTCCCAGGCTGGTGTTGAAAATATCTATCCTTCATTGGAGGGGTGGTGGTGGTGTAGATGAATGTTTCCCAAATTCCTAATTTTGCAACCAAATTATGGTGGTGTGAATAGTGAGAGGTGTCACCAATTGGGAGCTGGAGGATAGTTGAATGTTGTCGCCTCTGAGGTTAGCATCTCTGCTCTTTCCTATCTCCCCTGGGAGGGACGGCTGCCTTTGCTTGTCCCTCTCTCGCCCCAAGAGCTGCCCCCGTTGGAGTGACAGTAGAGTGGCCCATGGCTTGGAGCTGTAGCGAGGAGCCAAATGAGTTGCCATTGACACTTGTGCAGTGTCGGTGTTGGTATCAGAGAAGTCCCTCTAGAATAATGGATGCTTTTGGAGCTGGGTGATTTGCTTCTTCAAGACAGTTTTGAACTGCCTGGATTTATCCCTACAGTTGTCTTGGCAATTGATTTTCACAAGAGGTTCGCTATTGCCTCCTTCCTAGGGCTGTGAAAGAGTGACCGGCCTAAAATCACCCAGTTGGCTTCATGCCCAAGGTGGGACTGGAGTTCTCAGTATCCCAATTTCTAGCCAGGTGCCTTATAACCACTGTACTAAACTGGCTCTTTTTTTTTTCTTACCTGGATAATTGAGAATGTCAGAAGGTGTGAACTGCCATAGGTTTTAGAGTCAGTTTTTCTTCGTGAGGGCAAAAGCCAGCCGGTCCTGTTTGTCCATCCTTAGCAGAGGAGGTATTCAGCCAGTTCTGACCGGTTCTACAGAACTGGTAGTGGAAATTTTGAATTGTTCGGAGAACCGGCAAATCCCACCTCTGGCTGGCCCCGCCAACCCCATCTATTCTCCGCCTCCCATTGAGTCCCAGATGATCGGCTGGGTCTTCTTTGGTTGCCCTGCACAGGAGAATGGAGCTGGAAAGCAGGTTAGTGGGGTGGGGAGGGAATGGGGATTTTGCAGTATCTTTCCCCTGCCACACCCACCAAGCCATGCCCACCAAGCCACGACATGTCCACAGGACCGGTAGTAAAAAAATTGGAATACCACCACTGGAAGGAAGACAGGAATCAAAGGGGAAGGAAGAGAGGAATGAGAGGGGAAGGAAGAGAGGAACACAGGGAAGGAAACAGATGGCATTCAGCAGGTTCTGACCAGTTCTGGAGAACCAGAAGCGGAAATTTTGAATAGTTTGGAGAACCAGCAAACCCCACCTTTGACTGGCCCCGCCCCCATCTCTTCTCCACCTCCCATTGAGTCTCAGCTGATCGGCTGGGTCTCCTTTGGTTGCCCTGCATAGGAGAACAGAGCTGGAAAGCAGGTTAGTGGGGTGGAGAGAGAATGGGGGATTTTGCAGTATATCCTTTCCCTGCCATACCCACCAAGCCAAGCCGCGCCCACTAAAGCACGCCTACACAGAACCAGTAGTAAAATTTTTTGAACCCCACCACTGGTCCTTAGCCATCCGCTGCAGGCCTTCCTGGAGAGTGCAGATCCCACCGTCCAATCCCTCGATGATCTCCAGCACAAAGCCATGGAAGAATTCAGGAAAGTCTTATCCTTCTTTGGGGAAGACTCCAAAGCCACAACCTCGGAGGACTTTTTTGGCATTTTTGCTGAGTTCATGAGCAAATTTGAGGTGAGTATCCCCAGGATTTTATTCTACTTTGGTTACCCCGTGGTTGGGGCTGTGATCAACATTTTGTTTTATCACTTGCATTGCTCCTGGAGGATCAGGATTGGGCAGGGGTGTCAAACTCGATTCCATTGAGGGCCGCATCAAGGTTGTGTTTGATGCGGGGGGTGAGGGGGCATGGCTGGGGTGGGCGTGGCTGGGTGGGCGTGGCCAGCTCGATATCACTTGTGTCAGGGGCATCTGTGGTAGCCAAGTGCTAAGGCAGGACTTCATTCAGACCCTCCCTCCCTCTCATTATAATCTCTTTCCTTCCTTCCTTCCTTCCTTCCTTCCTTCCTTCCTTCCTTCCTTCTCTTCTGTTTCCTTTTGTCTTCATTCTCCTTTCTTCTTCCTTCCCCTCTTCCCTTCTTTTTCCTTCCTTGCTCTCTTCCCATCGTTCTTTCTTTTTCTTTGTCCTTCCTCTTTCCCTTTCTCCTTTCCTGTCCCTTCTTGCATGCTCAAATGCAAAAGGGGAAACATTTCTTCTTTCATTTCTTCCTCCTTCCCCTCTTCCCTTCTTTTTCCTTCCTTGCTCTCTTCCCATTTTCCTTCTCTTTTTTTTTTTTTTTTGGTTTTTCCTCTTTCTTCTTTCCTGTCCCTTCTTGTATGCTCAAATACAAAAGGGGAAACATTTCTCCTTTTGTTTTATTTTTAGTTCGTTTTGCTAGCCCGCTGGCAGCAAAAATGGATCCTGGGAGGAGCTCTGTTTTTGCTGGCAGAGGCACTACAGGCCGGTCCTTTGCTGTTTCCAGGATGGCCCTGCAAGCCAGATCTAAGCATCCTGGAGCTGGATGCGGCCTTGAGTTAGACACCCCTGGGATAGGGGGTAGACCGATCCCCATGTGGCCTAGAACAGGGGCCCCCAACCCCTGGTCCATGGACTGGCACTGGACCACAGCATGCCAGAAATAGGACCACGCAAACAAGCAAAGTCCCATCCACGGGATGAAGGCAGCACACGAAACCACACCCCCTCTGGTCCACGGAAAAACCCCTGTCCCAGAACCGGTCCCTGAGGCGCAAATGGTTGGAGGCTTCTGGCTTAGAACACGGCTCCTCCGTTACTTTTCTTTGAGAAAACCCAAACAGATTTGACTGGGCCCATTTGAGCTTGCGGCCTTTCTAAAGACACCGTGACCACTTGAAACTCCTTGGTTGGGGATTGTCACTTAGACGCCGGCCAGAAAGAGGAGAGGGTGGCAGCAAATAGGTTGTGTTTTTCCATCTCTTGTGCTGAGCAGTTACACCAGGGATCGCCTCCAAACTTGGCAACTTTGAGATTTGTGGACTTCAACTCCCAGAATTCCTCAGCCAGCTTGGAAGCCCACAAGTCTCAAAGTTGCCAAGTTTGGAGACCCCTGAGTTACACATTCGGGGTGGTTTCATAGCCCCCCCAAAAAAGGATCCAGCAGGGAAAACTGGGGGAAGGTTGAGGGGGAAGAGCTGTTGGGGAGGACTTTGCACATGCTTGTCCTGGCATTGCCACCCCCTCCTGTGTTCTGTTGCAAAGAGTGTCCTGTGGATCACGTGGCCATTTTTTGAGAGAAAAGTCTGGAGAAAGGAATGCCCCGCACTGATGCCACTGGATCTAGCAATCCTAGATCAGGGGAAAAGTGACTGCATTGGACGGTGGGATGGATGGAGTTGAGTATGCATAGCCTAAGAAAGAGACCATTGGCACCTCAGCAGCTTCCAAAAGGAGCTCCTGAAGTCATTCCTACCTTCAGGATGATTTGCCTTCAGTGTTTGTAATTTGACCCCCCTTCCTTGGCTTGGATCCTAGATAATTTAGCTGCCTCAGCAGGCTAGACACATTCTTCTTTTCGCCACTCCCCAGTTGAAGTTTGTTTGCAAAATTCTTTTGCTGCTCCTTATGAAAGAAACAGGGAGAAGTCACACACACCCCTTTTGCAGGGAATAAGAAGACCATCGGGGGTGGCAGGGGATTGAATGATAAGAGCAGGTCTTCTGGAATTGAGGGTGGGTTTCCTCCGACAAGATAGCAATGTTCCAATATTTGAGGGGTTGCCACAGAGAGGAGGGGGTCAAGCTATTTTCCAAAGCCCCCGAAGGCCAGACAAGGAAAAATGGATGGAAACTGACCAAGGTGTCATGCCCCTGTTGGAGTCTGACTCCGAGGGAGAGGAGGAACAGCCGACAGGGAGTCTGGCTCTGGAGGTTGTGGAGGAAACTGGGGAAGGGGACCCAGGCCCATCCCCTCTTCATCCTAGGGCACGCAGGGAGGAGTGGATAAGGGAGAAATCTGAATAGTGTGGTTTATGGGGGAGGAAGGGGCCCTGATCCCCTTCATGGGCTGCAGCTGGGAGGACTGTTTAAAAGGACAAACTGTGCATGGGCCAGTGCTGGAAGCAAAGCATGAAATAATTCTAGTCTTTCGGTTCTTATCTGAGTCTGGCATCCTTCCCAGTGTGTGCATTTCGATATCTGTGGACGTCTTCAAGCCCTTATCCTGCCTTGTCTCATTAATTGCTTCAGTGCGGTTTGTGTTGTTTTTTCTATTTATAATTTATAGGTATTTTTAGTTTGAACGACATTTCCTCCTTTTAGCAACTATTTGTGGGGGAGTTTTTTGTCTCCAATGATATTTGGACCTTTGAAGCCAAGTTGAAGGTATTAAAGGGACTTCACCTGTTTTTGTGACTTTGTTGCTTTTGTATCCCACCCTGGGTCATCACACAAGGAGAGATTCAACCTGGAAATGAGGAGAAAATTTCTGACAGGGAGAGCAATCAACCCATGGAACAGAAGTTTCCTTCGGAAGTTGTGGGAGCTTCATCCCTGGAGGCTTTCAAGAAGAGACTGGACTGCCATCTGTCAGAAATGGTCTAGGGTCTCCTGCTTGGGCAGGGGGTTGGACTAGATGACCTACAAGATCCCTTCTGACCCTGTTAATCTGTATCTGTATCAGTTTGGTGCAGATTGGCCTCCCCTGACTCATTCATCCTCAGCTTGAGCCGTCCTTGACTTGATTGACGGATGGATACAGCAGATTATACTCCGAACTCAGCAAGTGGACGACTTCAACGCCCCGAATTCCTCAGCCAGCCAGACTTTAAGTCTGGAAGTGTTAAAGTGGTCAAATTTAGAGGCCCCAGTACTAGAGGATTGGGGGGGGGGGAAATGGTCCCCCGCCGAAGAGAAGATGTCTGCTAAGAGCATCAAATCTCTAAGCCAGCAATGCATCAAACTTCTTTGATCTTGAAATGTTTGCAGTATCCTTGCATGTGGACATGGCCATGGTGAGGGGAGCATGTTGTATGCAAAAAGAACAAATGGGTTGGTTGACCCAGTCAAGCAAGCAAGCAGACTTGAACTGGTATGAAGCCATTCTGGTCTGCTTGAGCTTTGCCTCATGTCCTCCAGACTGTCGTGTTTGTAACTGCAGCTTCCACGCTATTTTGGGGCAAATTGTGGCCTCGGGTGGCAGAAGGCAGCAAGAACCTGGCGTGGCCACCTGCACAAGCCTCAGGCTGGAGAACCCAGAAGCAGAGGGCTATCTGTGGCTCAGACGGCTCATTCAAACTTGCCTTTGTCTTCTCCGTACACACCTACCATGCAGTGAACTGGAGTGTGTTGAGTTGTCTCCTTCTGGGTTTTCCAGTCCCTACAGATATGAAAATGCGGTGTTGGGTCTTTAAATCGCCTTAATGGCCTAGACCAGGGGAGTCCAACCCTGGCCACTTTAAGACTTGTGGACTTCAATCCCCAGAGTTGAAGTCTGGGAATTGAAGTCCACAAGTCTTAAAGTGGCCAAGGTTGGACTCCCCTGTTCTAAATAGATAACAGATAACAGATAATCAGAGTTGGAAGGGACCTTGTAGGTCATCTAGTCCAACCCCTCTGCCCAAGCAGGAGACCCTACACCATTTCTGACAGAGGGCAGTCCAGTCTCTTCTTGAAAGCTTCCAGGGATGAAGCTCCCACAACTTCCGAAGGCAACTTCTGTTCCACGGGTTGATTGCTCTCCCTGTCAGAAAGTTTCTCCTTATTTCCAGGTTGAATCTCTCCTTGTTCAGTTTCCATCTATTATTCCTTGTCTGGCCTTCAGGTTCCTTGGAAAATAGCTTGACCCCCTTCCTCCTCTCTGTGGCAGCCCTTCAAATATTGGAAGGCTGCTCTCCTGTCTCCCCTGGTCCTTCTCTTCACTAGACTAGCTATGTCCAGTTCTTGCAACTGTTCTTCATATGCTTTAGTTTCCAGTCCCTTAATCACCTTGGTTACTCTTCTCTTCATTCTTTCTAGAGTCTCAACATCTTTTTTATAGTGTGGTGACCAAACTGGATGCGGTACTCTAGGTGTGGTCTTACTAAGGGTTTACAGAGCGGTATTAGCACCTCCCTTGATCTTGATTGTATCTGGTTGTTTGTTTGCCTGCTACCTCCAGCAGGGGTTGAGCTAGAAGACCTCCAAGATCTCTTTCAGCCCTATGATTCTCTTCTCTCTACAGCGGGCCTTCAACGACGTGCAGGCCAGCGAGCCCCTGTGCAGCCCGAAGGCGATCCCTCCACTTGCCTGGTGACCGCAGGGTTCAAGAAAGACTGCGGCACGGTGCTTTCGTGCCTCCAGTGTGGCTTCTTCAGGTCCACTCTGGCGGTCGATGGAAAGCAAGTTTCTTCCCAGCTTGGAAGCAGCGTTGCTGGAGACCAGCAGAGGACACACCTGTGCCCATTTTTATGGAAACTGCCTTCAAAAAAGGGGGGGGGGGGGGGGGGTTTGGCAGGTGCAGATTTCTACACACTTCTCTGCACCAGAGACAATTCTTTTTCACAGGGATATTCCGTGGTTGCTAAACCTGAGTGCTAGAATCCAAGGGGTAAAGAGGCATGGACAAAGCTGCCCCGGTTTTCCTCTTACTTTTCATGGCCTTTCCTGGAACCCCTTTATTCAGGGCTGGGCTTCAGAAAATGTATTGGTTCTCTGCCCGGTTGCTGGGTGGGCGTGGCCATGGTGGGCGTGGCCTACTCCGCCTCCTACACCACGGTGGGGAGTCCATTTTGGCCCTCCCTGGGCTCCGGGAGGGTGAACAACGGGGTCCACGGGCTCCGGAAACCAGAAATGGGCTGGGAGCAGGGGTGGGATTCAAATTTTTTAACAACTGGTTCTGTGGAAGTGGCTAGCTGGGCATGGCCATGTGACTGGGTGGGCATGGCTTCTGTTTTTTTTGCAGCACCCCCCCCCCCCCTGCACTCCATTTTTGGGGCTCCTGGACCTCAGGGAAGCCTCCCAGGGGGGCGTTTACTCCCTGGAAGCTTCCCTGAGGCCCAGAAAGGCAAAAAATGGAGCAGGGGGGGTGCACACAGCACCACCCCACACTCCGTTTTGGGGGCTTCTTGGCCTCAGGGAAGCTCCTGAGGGGATGTTTTTGCTCCCAGAAGGCTTCCCTGAGATTTAGGAAGGCAAAAAACGGAGTGCTGGGAGGAGAGCGCGCCGCCCCCCCCCCCCCCCCGTGCGCCGCTTTTTGCCTCCTGGGCCTCAGGGAAGCCTCAGGGTGATTCCGGCAGAGCTGATTGTAAGAACAGCTGATCGTCAGGGAAAAAAAAAAAGAAATAGCTTAAGGAGTGACTGAGTGGGGGAGAATGCAGTCAGCAATGTCGGGCATGCGTGTGATGTCGCACATGTGCAATAAGGACTGACTGGGCGGGGAGGGGAGAGCCCGACAGAGAGGGGCGGGGCCAGCCAAGAGCGCAATTTGCCGGCTTCCCGAACTGCACAGAATCGTAACAACCGGTTCTACAGAACCGGTCTGAACCGGTAGAATCCCACCCCTTCCTGGGAGGCCCGTTTTCCGCCCTCTCCGAACCTCTGTGGGGGGCCTGCACTTACCTGGGATCCAAAACAGGCTGCATGGAGACTCCTGGGAGGGGAGGGGAGGGGCAGGGTGGGTGGGGCCAGCCAGTCACTGCAACTATCAGTTCGGTGAATTAGATGCATACCTAACATGCGGTTTGTCCGAACTATTACGAACCGGTAGTAACCCACCCCGGCCTTTATTTCAGGGAGCTGTCACCGAGCTTGCGGGTGGCATTTGGGAAGGGTCAATCTGTTCCGGGCTTGCGTAGTGTCCCAAAGGAAAGATGCCATGACCAGATGCCTTTGTTCCAAAAGGAACAGATTTGCTCCCTCTCCTGCCTCCTTCTCTCCAGGCACATCCATTTGCCGGTCATTGCAAACGTAGCCAGTGCGTCTTTCGTTCCATTTCAGTTCTCTTGGGAAAATAGGTGACCCACGCAAGCAGGATGGGGGCTGAAGCCCTCTCTCTAGAGCTGAACGGCGAAAAAAAAAGCGGGGAAGTGCCCTCACCCTAGCCAGCATCGGGTGCCTATTCCACACCATCTTCTTGTCTGCTGCCTGTTGGTCAAATGTCTGTGAGCAGAGTAGCTTTTATGTTTATGTTTTGGTTACTTGATCGGTTGGGTTGCTATCTCCGAGTTCCTCCAGGAGGTTCAAGGCAGCTTGTGTGAGGAACACCGTTCCCTTCCCCCCCCCAATCAATGACCCTGTGATGGCCCAGGGTGCCTAGGCAGAAGCAAGCATCCCTGGAGACCTTTATTGCTCTGATTAAAGGCCACATCAGACGGCCCTACCAGGGTCTGCTAAGACTCCGCCCCACATGCCCCTGAGGGCAGCCACCCTCAGTCCAGTGGTGGGATTCAGAGATTTTTACCACCCGTTCGGTGGGAGTGGCTTGGTAGGCACTCTTTGCGCACATGCACACACTTTGTGTGTGCATGAAAAACATGCACTTTGTGCAGGCATGTTTTAACTCACCTCCTGCAAGCCTGCACTCTCCCGGTGGCTTTAGCAGCTGCCACGCAGCACTCCGCTGTGCCGCGCAAAGCAGCTGCGGTTCAAAAGCAGGGGACAAAGGTGAGTATGGGAGCCTGGGTGGGCGGGTTGGCCCAACAGCAGAGTGGTGGAGAGAACCGGTTTGGCCTCCGCTGCTCATCGGTGCTACCAGCTCGGCAGAACCAGGCCGAACCGAACCACTGCCTCAGTCCCCCAAAGCCAGTAAACAACAAAAGAAGCCCAAAGAGAAGGTGCAAGCTCTCCAGTGTTCCTGGGGAGGGACAACCTTCTCCCGAGTAGCCTTGCAGCTCTCCTCTGGGCTTGCCTACGCTCCAGTGGTGGGTTTCGAAATGTTTTCCTACCGGTTTGGTGTGAGCGCACGCTTTGTGTGTGCATGCCCAGCGTTTGCAACTCACCTTCTGCTGCAAGCCCTGTGTGTAAAACAACTGACGCGCGACAATCGGCTGTGCGTTGTGAAGCAGCTGAGATTGAAAAGCAGGAAATAAAGCACAGAATAGAGCCCGGGCGGGTGGGAGGGCCCAGCAGCTGATCGTCGGAGCGAACTGGTTGCTCACAGATGACCCTTGGAGCTACCGGTTTGGCCAAACTGGGCCAAAATACCACCACTGCTATGCTCCCCTCTCCACGCCCTTGGATCAAATGGGGGAGGCAGCTGTTCCTCATCAGAGGGGATCCGCTGCCTATCCACACCACTGCCTGTCTGCAGCCGATCCTGCCCCGTGTCTCTGAAGGCAGGCAGCTCGATCACTTCCCCCAATGCCTGAGGGGACTGGGACAGCCTCGTCCTCAGCCCCTGGCCTCTCCAAGTATGCTAAAGGAGATGTGCCATCCCAACTTCTCCTTCTTCTTCTCCTCTTCTTCCTCCTCCTCTTCCTCCTCTTCCTTTTCCTCTTCCTCCTCTTCCTCCTCCTCTTCTTCCTCCTCCTGCTCCTCCTCCTGCTCCTCCTCCTCCTGCTCCTCCTCCTTCTCTTCCTCCTCTTCCTCCTCTTCCTCCTCCTCTTCCTTTTCCTCTTCCTCCTCTTCCTCCTCCTCCTGCTCCTCCTCCTTCTCTTCTTCCTCCTCTTCCTTTTCCTCTTCCTCCTCTTCCTCCTCCTGTTCCTCCTTTTCCTGCTCCTCCTCCTCCTCTTCCTCCTCCTCCTCCTCCTCTTCCTCCTCTTCCTCCTCTTCCTTCTCCTCTTCCTTTTCCTGTTCCTCCTCTTCCTCCTCCTGCTCCTCCTCTTCCTGCTCCTCCTCTTCCTCTTCCTCCTCCTGCTCCTCCTCCTCTTCCTCCT